CAGATGGGTTCAGTTTGGAAGCTCTGCTGTGGGCTGAGGGGCAACTGAGGTCCAGAGAGGGACCCCGTGACAAGCATGATGACAGGGGCCCTAGTGGAGAGGGACCAGTACTTTGGGAGTCACGAGATTAGGATTTGACCCTGACGGGGAGGCTTTCCTGAAAAGGTGGCTTCATCGACGAGGGTGAGAAGTCACCCTGGTGCTAGGAGGGAGAAAGGATCAAAGGAGCAGGGAGGAGAGAGGGTGGGAGTCCTGGGCAAGGCAGAGTGGGCAGCTAGGACAGGCCCCCGCAGGAGCCCCATGCAGGCATCAACCCAAACCCGACTCAGCACTCCATAGAGCTCTCAGTGGCTGGTTTTTCAGCTGTAGGTTGCCAAGCCTTTCTTATGAGGTGCCTGTGGGTGGACTTGAACCTCCAACCTCTTGGTTAGCAGCCAAGCTTGGTCACCATTTGCACGGCCTGGAGATTCCAGCCAACTGACAGGTTTATGTTGTAGCCATGGGCCTTTCTCTGGCACTTTCCCTACATGAGAGCACATGGCTGCCTCACCAGCAGACAGACCCCCATTCTGGGCAGGTGGTCATCGCCGAGACCCTGTTTAACGCCAGCATGAGAAAAAAGTGCCTAGCAGCCTGAGGTGCCAAGACACTCTCGGAGCCTGCCTGCAGTCCCCGGGTGGGGGCCTGTGCACACCATAGGCGCTCGAGTTTGTGCCACAGGTTTCATCCAGGAAGTCATATGAAATTTGGCCCTGAGGCTGTGTCACCCTGGGACACCTGTCAGAGGCAAACGCCAAATTGCTTTAGAAGGCACACCCTCAGCCCAGAGCGAAGGGTCTGCATGTCGAGATCTGCAGAAGAGGGCCCTGGAATGCAGGAAGAGGACCCCAGAGTGCAGGTGGAGCTGACTCCCCAGGAGTGAGCATCTGCTCACACACACACTCACACACATGCACAAATGTACGCACACGCACACATGTGCATACACGCACAAACATACATGCATATATAGACACGCATGATCATGCACACACGCACAGATACGCAAATGCACGCATGCATACACACACACACAACCAGATAAGATTTCTGAGGCCTTGGGAGAAAGACTGTCAGAGGCCATAAAATAAAAGGTATCAAGAAGGAATTGCAAATTTAAGGAAAGAGCAAAATCCGGGGACAAAGGCAGAAGTTGTGAAATAGAACCAAGTGGAATGTCTGTAAATGACAAAGACCACGACTGAAATTTAAAATGCAGCGGACGATGGCAGAAGAGTCCCCCAACTTACAACAGCTGGGCGAGCTGGATGAAAGATGAACAATGTCTGCTGAGTTGGGGTTTAGGGGGTGGGAGCCACAGGCCTGCACAGTCACTGGGGTTCTGTGACAGCCCAGCATCCTGTGACAGTCCAGGGTCTTCTGACGGCCCCAGGGGCTGTGAACTGGACCTGATGCAGAAGGGGCAGCCTGGGCAGAGAGACAGGAGAGCCTTTTGCCTCAGAACCTGGCGGGACCAGGCACTTGGCGGGACCACTAGGCTGGGCAGTCTCAGATGGGGACGGCCCTGGACTCTGCTGTGGTGGCAGAGGGGTGGCAAGCTGAGAGAGGACGCTGCAGTGGAGCATCAGCACGGTGGGACTGGCACAGTGAGTGCCCTGGGAGGGGTAGCAGTGGCCAGTGCCAGGAGGGAACAGGTTTGAGTTATGTTTTAGAATTCAGTCTGGCAGGATTTGCTAACAGGTTAGATGTGTGGGGACAGGGAAAGGAAAGAATGAAAGTTTTGGGTTTGAGCACTGTAGGGTAGGAGAAAGCTAGCATTGTCTGCATTTCTGCTTTTCCAGAACATGGACTCAGCATATAAATCCAAAATTAAGGTCAAAAAATTCCATATTTCCATTTTAAAAGTTACTTTAAATTGTTGACGAAAACGCCTATGACATTTTTTTTTGGTTGTAAAAATATCTATAATACAACATTTGTCAGTGTACAATTCAGTGATAGCAATTACATTAATCATATTGTGCAACCGTCACCCAAAGTCATTGCCAAATGTCTCATCAGCAACTTCTATGATCTTTTAAGAACTTTAAAATGTTCAGGATAAGCAATGCGTTTCCTGTTCTTAACTTTCCAGCCTCGAGCTCCACACCTTGCTAAGGGAGAAACGCTCCTGGGGCCAGCTTTACTCCCAAGCGCAGGGATCACGGATTCATCCCTTCTTTCCTGGCATCTGTTTTCTTGCTCCGGGATTCCATGCCAGCCCATGGTGCCCGTCTTTGAGACAAGCACGCCCTCTTCGGCTGTGGCCTCAGCATGTCGCCTTTAACCAAACCCCAAGCACTGGAGGAGGTCCTTCCCAGCCTTGAGGAGAAGCCGAAAGGAAAGCCGCTTTTCCCCTGGGGCTCTCTGTTTGGCCACCGCAGCGAGAAAATCACCTTTACGCAAAGTGACAGCGTTCCGGAAGAGAACGTGCTCACCATCACCATCACTGAGACCACCGTCATTGAGTCAGACCTGGGCGTCTGGAGCTCCCGGGCCCTTCTCTACCTCACTCTGTGGTTTTTCTTCAGCTTCTGCACGCTCTTCCTCAACAAGTACATCCTGTCCTTGCTGGAAGGGGAGCCCAGCATGCTAGGTGAGTGTGGACACCAGCTAGTTAATGAGTCATTGTTGTTAGCTACAGTGGGGTCACCCGGACTCACAGTGACCCCATGCACAACGGAACGAACCCCACCCTGGTCCTGCACCATCCCCACGACTGGTTACAGATCAGACAACTGTGATCCATAGAGTTTTCATTGGCTGATCTTCAGAAGTAGATCAAAGGCCTTTCTTCTTAGCCTATCTTAGTCTGGAAGCTCTGCTGATACCTGTTCAGCATCATAGCAACACGCAAGCCTCCACTGACAGATGGGTGGTAGCTGAGCATGAGGTGCATTGGTCGGGAATTGAACCTGGGTCTCCCTTGTGGAAGGCGAGAATTCTTCCACTGAACCACCAATGCCCCCACGTTTCCAGAGTAACATGCAAAAATCTCAAGAGTAGATGGTTACCTGGGAGGGAGGGCAAGTGTTGAGGGGATGAGGATGAGAGCAGGACTTCTCGAGGAGAAGCCATGGGGGCCAGGACACGTTCTGTGTGATTATGAAACAGAATAAATGCAGTGCTCCAACTCCCTTATGTTGAGAGAAGAAGGCCCCCCTCAAGCCTGGCTCCCCACTCCTGTCCAGGAGAGGGAGGACGCCCCTAGTCTGGATCTCCTCTACCGTCCAGGTGCCGTGCAAATGCTGTCCACCACGCTCATCGGCTGTGTCAAGATTTTCCTCCCTTGCTGTTTGTATCAGCACAAAACCCGCCTCTCCTACCCGCCTAACTTCATCATGACCATGCTGTTTGTGGGTCTAATGAGGTAAAGGATCTGACAATGTTGGTTGTGTGTCTGAGTTTTTAATAACGTCTTTCCTGTCACTACAAGTGGGAGCTCAGCTGACTTGAGGTACATTTCCAGTGTAAACTCTAAAAATACCAGGGCTGCTGGCTTCCTGGGCAGCACAGGCATCTGGCTTTGTGGATCTTAGTGCCACATACACAGGTTCTTTCCAAACAACTCTGATGACTTAGTTTAATAATGGTTTGAGGACAACAATCTTCCTCCCTGGGTGATATGCCAGCGTCACTGAGAGCAAAGCCATTTCCTGAAGGGCTCTATCTGAAACATCAGAAGAGGGGCCTGAGCTTGGGTGGGTGAGCATGGGTGCTGATGACAGGGTTTTCAGGTGGGGGGTACTGGGAGGAGGGGGAAGGAGAAGGGGAGCGGGGAGGAGGAAAGGGAGTAAGGGAGAGGAGAGAGGGAGGAGGAGGAGGAGGAGGGAGGTTAAGGGGGGAGAGGAGGGGAGGGGAAACTGGGAGAGGAGAAGGGAGAGGGATGAGGATGGGGTGGGGGAGGAGGAGGAGGCTCCCTTCTGGAAAGTCTTGCTTATAGCTGGAAGTAGGCTGATCCGTTCCAAGGCTATTTTCTGCCTGTTTCTAGGTTTGCGACGGTGGTTTTGGGGCTGGTCAGTCTGAAGAATGTGGCAGTGTCGTTTGCAGAGACGGTGAAAAGCTCTGCACCCATCTTCACTGTGATCATGTCCCGGATGATCCTGGGGGAGTACACGGGTGAGTGGCCCTCTGGAGCCTGAGCACTTCCCACCCCACCCCTTTTCCTCCAGTCCAGGAACTTGGGTCATCCCCACCTTCTGCCTCTCTAGGCTCCTGCTCCCCTGATGTCCCACCCACCATCATGTGCCCGGCTTGGTCACCCCCCTCAGGGACTATGAGCAGCAGCAGCCTGAAGCCCACAGCTTAGGTTTCTGGGCTGCCCTGCCGAGCCCACTCTCAGCTCCAGCTCTTTCCTTGAAGTCTGCTCTGAGCTCCCGTGTCTCTCTCCCTCTGAAATGTTTTCTTAGGGATCATGATCTGGCCTGCTCACGCCCCTGCTCATACTGAGCTGTCCTCGTGCCCTCGTGGCATTGCAGCCGCGTGGGTGATGGGCAGGAGCAGGGAGTAACTAATAAACCAGGTCACTCAGGCGCTGATGACCGCATCAAGGAAAATAGGATGGAGTTGTGCTTGGTCTGCAGAGGGTGACCAGTGCCCTCCTAACTCAAGGGCCCCAGGCAAGGAAGGGTCAGCCCGGAAGGCAGCCCATGGCGCTCCACGCCTCGGCCACTCTCCTTGAGTACTTCCCTCTGCCCCTCTAGCCTGCAGGCTCCTGGGCCCCTTCCCCGCTCTGACTGCTCTTCCAGCTGCTTCTTCCCTGGCTCCCCGAGGCTCAGCAAATTGGATTTATTTATCAAACTTCTAGGTTTTAAGGACATGCAGGTTGTTCCCAACCATGTGCGAGACCCACATTCCCTGGTTTTCCTATCAACCTTCTAGAAAACAACATATCCAATATTGTTACATGGAAGCAGGCAGTGCAGAATAAGGCGTGGAATACATGATCTTTAATCTAAGTAAGGAGAAGGTTTTTAGGCACACATGAAGTCGATTCTCGTTATCTGCGATAGTTGTGCTCTATAAAGTCACTGCAAACACTAACTTAGCAATGACAGAACTATTGCTCTAGGGGAAGTATAGGATTAGGTTCCTGCCATCCTGTGGTCACAACATTCTTATCAGTTGATCAGCTCATAACCTTGTGTTGTGTGTGTTTCTGTCTAAAGACACTTCAGTTAATATCTAGTGTTGATTTGTTAACATTGAACTCACTATAACTCACACCTGAACAAACATACGTCCTCCTTAAGGCCCATCACAGACTTCTTGCACTTAGGAACACTGCATGGCATTTCAGCACTCTGCTTGAGGCCATTTTAAACAGTGAAATCACCAACAAAGAACACAAAAATGCAAAAAAACGGGTACTAAACTAGACCACGAGGAGGACACTTGTTTACAGTTCGAGAGGTGAAACAAGAAGGCAGTGCGTTGCCTTGTTCAGCCTCAGTGGGGAATGTGTGCGTTGGGCAACTCTTATTTATTGCTGCTGTGCACATGTCTGCAAAAGCACCATGAGTATTGAATTTGGGGGTTAAAAATAAACTTTATTGTGTAGGTGCATTTACAAGTATGGAATCTGCAAATAATGTATTTGCTTTTATTTAAAAAAAATTAACGAGATCTTAAAACAAAGGCAAATGGTTACCTAAGGGAGGGAGAAAGGTTAAGGAGACAAGGATGTAGCGAGATGTCTTACAGGGATGCTTTTGGGATCATGAAATTGTTTCATGTGATTGTAAAAATAAAATCAAAATGTAAAAAGCGATTCCTAAAAATCACAACCAAAATGAAACAAAAAGTTGGTAGCTTGACCACTCAGAAAAGATTTATTTCAGTTGACTGCAGAACATCATAATTTGGCTTCTCCCTGTGATCCACAAGCTTGTATCAAACTAACTCTCTTGCTGAGAACAATTAGAAAATCTTGATGAAATTTAGTAAAAAAATAATAGTTTTTTGGAGGCACTGGAGAATGATCATGTTAGGAAGACCTGAGGGACCCAAATTTCAGAGGTCACCCAGAGACGTGACCCTGTCACACAGCACCACTCTCCCCTCAAGGTGCTTGGTTCTTGAGCAGTGACAGAGAATCTGAGCAGAGCAGTCTCTTGGCGCTGGTGGGGCAAGACTGGAGTGCGGGACCTGCCACAGAGGAGTTTCATTTAGAACCTGATCCTTTGAAGTCCTTATTGGGTGCGGCATCTACCCACACCCTGACTGCTTGCCCATAGCAAAAGCAAGTCCTCACTGGAGGATAAAACAGCACCTACAGCTTCCAGTTCTCTCTGCAGTCTATATGCATATTGTCTATCATCAACTAAAAATTTCCAGGCAGGCCAGAAGACAAGAACAAACAATAGAAAACTGAGAAGACAGAGATTTTCCTTGGACAGATCAAGATTTTCTCTCCTGAGCCCAGGTCCTCTCGACCACAGGGCGTCTGTGCATTTGCTACGTTGACTCTACTCCTGGAGGTTTATTGGTTAGACTTTCTCTTCGTTTATCACTTCCTAAGTAATTTGATCCATGTGGTGGTTGGTAGGTGCTGTCCAGTCGGTTCCAACTCATAGTGACCCTATGTACAACCGAACAAAACTCTGCGCCATCCTCACAATTGTTGCTATGTTTGAGCTCACTGTTGCAGCCACCATGTCAATCCATCTTGTTGAGGGTCTTTTTCTTTTTCACTGACTCTCTAGTTTACCAAACATGATCAATAAACAACATCATGGTAAATGGAGAAAATGTTTAAGTTGTCAAAGATTTCATTCTGCTTGAATCAACAATCAATGTCCACAGAAGCTGCAGTCAAGGGATTAAACAACATATTGCACTATGCAAATCTGCTGCAAAAGACCTCTTTATAAAGTTTTTTTTTTTTTAATTATTGTGCTTTAAGTGAAAGTTTACAGTTCAAGTTAGTTTCTCATGCAAAAATTTATACACAAATTGTTATGTGACCCTAGTTGGTCTCCCTATTACAGCACACTCCTCCTTTCCACCCCAGATTTCCTGTGTCCATTCAACCAGCTCCTGTCCCTTTCTGCCTTCTCATCTCGCCTCTGGACAGGTGCTGCCCATTTAGTTTCACGTATCTACTTGAGCTAAGAAGCACACGCTTCACGAGTATCATTTTATGACTTATAGTTGAGTCTAATCTTTGTCTGAAGAGTTGGCTTCGGGAATGGTTTTAGTCCTGGGTTAACAGAGAGTCCAGGGGCCATATCTTCCGAGGTTCCTCCAGTCTCAGTCAGACCATTAAGTCTGGTCTTTTTACTGGAATTTGAGTTCTGTACCCCTACTTTTCTCCTTCTCCATCAGGGAATCTCTGTTTTGTTTCCTGTCAGAGTAGTCATTGGTGGTAGCTGGGCACCGTCTAGTTCTTCTGGTCTCAGGCTGATGGAGTCTCTAGTTTACGTGGCCCTTTCTGTCTCTTGGGATAGTATTTTCCTTGTGTCTTTGGTGTTCTTCATTCTCCTTTGCTCCGGGTGCGTTGGGACCAATTGATGCATCTTAGATGGCCACTCGCTAGCTTTTAAGACCCCAGATGCCACTCACCAAAGTAGGATGCAGAACATTTTCTCAATAAACTTTGTTATGCCAATTGACCTTTCAGGATGTCCCCTGAAAGCATGGTCCCCAGACCCCCACCCCTGCTACTCTGTCCCTCGAAGTGTTTGGTCGTATTCAGGAAACTTCTTAGCGTTTGGTTTAGTCCAGTTGTGTAGACTTCCCCTGTGTTGTGTGTTGTCCTTCCCTTCACCTAAGGTAATTCTTGTAGACTGTCTGCCACTTGGTCTCTCCAGATGTGGAAAACTCATCCCGAGCGCCACTGCTTGACTCCCTGTGCACTCCAGCTGATCCAGCCTGCAGGGTGCTGGTTCCTGCAGGGTCAGGTCTGGCAACTCCTCGCTGCTTCTGAACTGTCTCTCCCTCCCCCTGCCGCTCATTCCAAGTCCAGGAGTCCATTTAGTTTTCTTGTATGGATTCAGCTCAGGTGTCCAAGTAGTTGGTCACCAAGTGTGTGGTGCAGTCTATCACCTACAGTCCTTGATGGCCGGGGTGATTGGAGTAGGCACAGGTATCTGGCTGCAGTAGGGGGTCATGCACTAAGCAAAGAAGGGGGCTGACGGCTGCCTCTGAGTGTCTGGGAGGAAAGCGTGTCCCTGTTCCCTAGAGCACGTAGATGGGTGGGTTTTGCAGCTGGAATATGGGCACCCAGCGCTGTTAGCTGTAAGGATTGGAGGACACCACTTATTCTTGGACCCCTGTCTCAGGTGGCTAGGTGATGTGGGTGGAGCCACCAGTCCTCAGGCCCCTGATGTGAGTAGGTGAGGACCCTGCTTAATGAGCAGTATCAAATGTCACAAATCTGCCACTCCTCCTTATAACTGATACAGTTGAAAATAGGCTTCAGGTGTATACCCCGTTGTACTGTGGTAATGAGGGCCTACGCTGTTGAAATGGACCCACACAGGTCTATGCAGGGGTGAAAGTCATTCAAAGTCCGTGGACTCGTTATGCCTGTGCCTAGGCAAAGTGGCTGCGCCTGCCTGAGTTCCTGGCTCAGGGGAGCTGGCAAATTATTTTTTTCTATTTGTTCATTTGTTCCCTCTCCAAAGCTGGGAGAATGGCTCAGGGTGTGAGACAGGTCCTACTTCCAGTCCAGGGGACGTGGCAATCACTGAAGCCAGCCTGGGACCCAGTGCAGAGCTGGGAGGGGACAGGTAAATGGGAGAGAGGTTCTTCCCAAAGGGGGTGTTTTTGATCCACGCGGTAGGCTAGACACATGTACTTATCTTTTGCCAATTGAGTGCCGCTTCTCACTGATTCTGGAGGCTTGAGAAGACTCTCTGCCACTTGGTCTCTCCAGATGTGGAAAACTCATCCCGAGCGCCACTGCTTGACTCACTGTGCACGCCAGCTGATCCAGCCTGCAGGGTGCCAGTTCCTGTAGGGTCAGGTCTGGCAACTCCTCACGGCTTCTGAACTGTCTCTCCCTCCCCCTGCCGCTCATTCCAATTCTTTAACTTTGCCTTTGATGTTCAGGGCTCCTAGATTGTCATATATAATCGATTCACTTGTTTTTTCAGGTCTTTGTTGTAACAGGGACTGCAGAAAGTGTCTGACTACTCTGCCATCTTGGCCCCGCCTCCCTCTTTAAAGTTTTAAATGACAGAGATGTCACTTTGATGACTAACATGCATCTGACCCAAGCCATAGTCTTTTCAGTTGCCTCATATGCATGTGAAAGCTGAACAATGAAACAGAAGACCAAAGAAGAATTGATGCATTCAAATTGTGGTGTTGGCAAAGAATATTGAATAAACCGTGGACTGCCAGAATGAACAAATTTGTCTTAGAATAAATACAGCCAGAATGTTCTTTAGAAGCAAGGATGGTGAGACTTCAGCTCACTTACTCTGGACATGTTATCAGAAAAGACCAATCGCTAGTAAAGGACATCGTGGTTGGTAAAGGGTCAACGAAGGCAAGGGAAATCCTCCATGAGATAGGTCGATACCATCGCTGTAAAGATAGACTTAAACATACCAATGATCGTGAAGATGGTGCAGGATCGGGCAGAACGTTGTTGTTCTGTTATACATAAGGTCACCATGAGTTGGAGCCAACTCTATGGCAACTAACAATAGGAATTTGAGTTACTGCTCTAGGCAGCGCTGTCCCGTGACAAGGTAAGACCGCCATATTCTTGTGAGGTCAACACAGAGGACTAAGATTCTGTGCCTTTTTGCTAAACATGAAACGCCCATACTCTCGTTTCCTTTGAATCTCAAAATAAATTAAACCCTGAGTCTAAAATCAAAGCAGAAGTACAGAGTGGTACCTGATGCCCTATTTCTGAGATAAATACGTGTCGGGCACTGTGATTTTCCATTGTAGTGTATGAGTTTTTCATCATTCATGTAAAGGCTGTGTTCTGTATTTCAGAAGGAAAAAACAAAAGAATAAACTCAACATGGGGGCATAGAGAAGGCCTGCTCTGTGCCAGGCTATAAGATTACACGCATACACACACACACACACACACACCCCTGAAGCTTCCCCTTTGTGACAGAATTTGCTGGAGACCATCTCGTTCACCTCTTCACTTCACAAGTGAGGTTCGTGGACTTGTGGGAGAGGGAGGGACTTGGGAGCCTGGGTCCGCATCTGTATGTCCTCCCACAGGGAAGTGTCCTTGCAGCCGGCTCTCATGTGGGAGCCTCATGGGGCGTCTGCCTTTGGAGAGAGTCACAGGACTTATTTGTGGCTTGGACTCTCGCTTGCTTCATTTTCCTTCCAAAGTAAAAAGGAACTGATTATGTATTAGTTTTTCTTTTTATGAAGTGAAATTCACATAGCACACCATAAACCATTTTACAGCAAGCAATTCAGTGGTATTTAGTATATTCACAGTGTTGTGCAACCACCACCACTTTCCGATTCCAGAACATTTTCATCACCCAGAAAACCACCCCGTACCCATTAAGCCGTCGCTCCCCATTCCCCCTCTGCGCAGCCCCAGGCAACTACTGATCTGCTTTCTGTCTCTATGGATTTACCTGTTCTGGATAAAACCAAAAAATCCCATTGCCATCAAGTCAATTCTGACTCATAGCAACCCTATAGCACACAGTAGAGCTGCCCCATAGGGTTTCCAAGGAGTGGCTGATGGATCCAAACTGCCAACCTTTTGGTTAGCAGCCAAACTCTTAACCACTGGGCCACCAGGACTCCTGTTCTGGATATTTCATATAAATAAATCTTAGGTTATGTGACCTTTTGTATCTGGCTTCTTTTACTGACCGTGTTTTCAAGGTTCACCCCTGTTACAGCCACGTACGTACAAGAACTTCATTCTTTTTTATGACTGAGTAACGTTCCATCGTATGGATACACCACATTTTGTTTATCCATTCATCCACTTACAGACACTTGAGTTGTTTCCAGATTTTGGCTATTGTGTATAATGCTGCTACGAACATTGGTGTACAAGTTTCTGTGTAGACATATGTTTTTATTTCTTTTGGATATGTATCTCGGAGTGGAATCGCTGGGTAATGTGGTAATTCTGTGTTTAACTTTTTGAGGAACTGCAAAACTGTTTTCCACAGTGGCTATACCGTTTTACATTCCCATCAGCAATGGGTGAGGGTTCCAATTTTTCCACATCCTCACCAACATTGTCCTTCTTTTTGATAATAGCTGTCCTAGTGGTTTGAAGTGGTATATAACCCATTGCCATCGAGTGGATTCCAACTCATAGTGACCCTATAGGACAGAGAACTGCCCCATAGAGTTTCCAAGGCTGTAATCTTTACGGAAGCAGACTGCCACATCTTTCTCCCACAGAGCGGCTGGTGGGTTTGATCTGCCGACCTTTCGGTTAGCAGCTGAGTGCCTAACCACTGCACCACCAGGGTATATACCACTGGTATATGTGTTCGTTTTTAAATTAACTTGAAAGGCCATAACTTTCATGAGGACAGATAAGAACAGCTTGGTGTCTAGCATCAGGCTTACAGTCACTGTGTGCTTGCACTCTCTTCAGGGCTGCTGGTCAACCTCTCCCTTATCCCAGTCATGGGAGGGCTGGCACTGTGCACTGCCACTGAGCTGAGCTTCAATGTCTTGGGCTTTTCTGCTGCCTTGTCGACCAACATCATGGACTGGTAAGTCATTTATAATTATTCTTGCTAAAGTAAAACAGGCTCGTGTTTGAGGTTTTGAATAATACAGCTAAGTTAAAGATCGTCTTCAATTCCACTTTTAACGTTTTGACATATTTCCTTCCTGCTCTTTCCCTCTGCATTTGTCTTTCTTAGAAACATCATATGGATTCTATCACATGTTCAATTTGCCTCTTGCTTTTTTACGTTTCCTGTTGTTTTATGAGCACTGCTTCATGTACTAACATGTTCTTCAAAACCCTGATTGTCGTGACCACCTCCTAGGCCATCTTGAATTTGCACCACGGCTCAACCATTCCGTTGTTGCCGAGCTCCCAGCTCTTCGCATGCATACATAATGTTGTGGGGAATAACTTCTTACCTGAGTCGAGTCGTCTGAATTTCCAGCTGCCCTGTAAGGTGAATTCTAGAAGGAGGATTGTCAGCCGAGCCCACAAACTTCTCTAAAGGGCTCCTGACCTGTGCTGTTGGCTCGCTTCCAAAACGATTATTTCAAGTGATAGTCCTGTCGGCCAGAGTCTCTGACCCCATCCTCACAGACTCCTCTTTTGTATTGAAAAGCAAATCTTCTTGTTTGAGGGTCCTTATTTTAGGTTCTGACCCCTCTGGTCACTGGTGAGAGTGATGCTATTTAGTTTTCCCCTCAGCCATTTGTGTCTTCTTCTGTGGCTTATCTGTCCTGTTTGTGAGTTTTGTCCATGTTTTTCTCTTGGGGTCTTTGGGCCTTAAATGGTCTCTGGGATCAATTGCTCACACACCTGGGGCATCCCTGGGTGCCAGCCCAGGGTGGCCGCTGACACATGGGACTCCATTCAAAGGGGGTGTCTCAGTTTCCTGGTGCCACCATAACAGAAACACCACAAGGAGGTGGCTTTTTTTTTTTTTTTAATAACATTTTATTGTGTTTTTGGTGAAGGTTTACGTAGCAGTTTAGGTTCCCATTTAACAAATTCTACGCAGGTTATTCAGTGCCATTGGTTACATTCTTCATAGCGCGTGAACATTCTCATTATTTCCATTCTGGTTGTTCCGTTTCCGTTAATCTAGTTTCCCTGCCCCTTACATTCTCATCTTTGTTTTCAAGTAATTGTTGACTGTTTGGCCTCATATAGGTGATTTTTTTAAAGGAGTACAGTACTTATGGGTGATATTCATTATCTTTAGGAGGTGGCTTTAAAGAACAGGAATTTATTGTCTCCAGTTGTGGAAGCTGAAAGTCCAAATCAGGGTCTCGGTTGTGTGGACTCCTTCTGTGGGCCTCTTTCCTAGTTGTTGGTGTCTGCCAGCGATCCTTGGCGTTCCTTGGCTTGTAGATGAGTCCTTGCATGTCATCCATCTTCCCCGTGTATGTCTCTGTGTCTATTCTGTTCTTTTTATAACTCAGAAGGGATTAGGTTTAGGACCCACCCTACACTGGTATGACCTCATTTACATCACAAAGAAAATCATATTTCCAAAGAGGATCACATCCACAAGTTCAGGGGCCAGAACTTCAACACATATTTGGAGGAACACAGTTCAATCCTTAACAGAAGGGCTTGTGCAGCGCTTGGAGCACAGACTTTGGGTTCTCTGAGATGTAAGAGCTTTGTGACCTCAAGCAGGTCACTCCACCGTTGAGCATCTCAGTTTATCCACCTGTAAAATGGGATGGGCATGGAGCCCACCTCACTGTCCACTCCCCAGCTGTCGTAATCCTTGTCACCGTCATTTGGTAAGAATGCAAACAGTCTGTCCATGTGATGTTCTTGATATGTAACCTTTTCTTTTCTTTATTCTAGTTTGCAAAATGTTTTTTCAAAAAAGCTCCTCAGTGGGGACAAATACAGGTTCTCGTAAGTATCATCAAACGTGAAATCTCTAATTTCATAAAGCCCTGGGGATAGTCTTTCCTGTTTTAAGATTCGGAATACCCCTAAGACCCGACACTTTCCCATGTTGGCTTACACCCCTTACCGTCAAGTCAACCCTGACTCACGGCACCCCCATGTGTGTGTCAGAGGCGAACTAGGCTCCATAGGGTTTTCTTTTATTTATTTATTTTTAAAATTCTATTTCTCTAGTTGTTGTTAAGAATATACACTGCAAAACATAACACTAATTCAATAGTTTCTACATGTACAATTCAGTAACATCCCTCCATAGGGTTTTCAATGGCTGACTTTTCTGAAGTAGATCACCAGGCTTTTCTTCCGAGGTGCCTTTGGGTGAACTCGAGCCTCCAACCTTTCGGTTAGCAGCTGAGTGCATTAACCACTTCCACCACCCAGGGACTCCCATCTTGGCTTAGGTGGCCTTTAAAAGTACTTTGTTGAAACTTGAAAAAAAAAAAAAATGTGTTCAGCTTGCCTTTTGAGGTGCCTCAACCCTCAGGCTGGCTTTAGTCTCTGGACAGCTGCTTGGGTTCTCTCTGCCACTTACAGGTCCTTCTTTTCCTCCCCAGAGGAAATAAAGCTCTAGTGCGCTTGCGTCCTTTTTGGAGCACTCTCTATGCTGAGAGCCTCTGATATACCATGGGAAGCCTTGCCTGGTTGTCAAGTGTCTGGTTAAGACCCAGCTCCTCCCAGGGGCGGGGCGAGGGCTCAGGCGCCTTCTCTCGCCCCTCTGCAGGGCCCCGGAGCTGCAGTTCTACACCAGCGCCGCCGCAGTGGCCATGCTCATCCCAGCCTGGATCTTCTTCATGGTGGGTTCTGGAAATGTGACCTTCATTGGCGCAGGGCTGCTGGCTACCCCTACCGTTCAGGAGCAGGGGGATTAAACTTTCTAGGTTCTGCAGGTAGCTGGCTGGTACGTTGTTCTTGTTGTTAGCCCCGACTCATGGTGACCCCGTGTGCAACAGGTGTGGAACGCTGCCCAGTCCTGTGCTATTTCCATGGTCAATTGTGGAATGGACCGCTGTAACCCCTAGAGTTTTCACTGGCTGGTTTTTGGAAGTAGATTGCCAGGCCTTTCTTCCTAGACTGTCTTAGTCTGGAAGCTCCACTGAAACCTGTTCTGCATCATAGCAACACCCAAGCCTCCCCTGACAGACAGGCAGTGGCTGTACACGAGGTGCATTGGCCAGGGATTGAACCCTGGTCTCCTTCATGGACTGTGAGAAGTCTACCACTGAACCACCACTGCCCCTGGTTGGTACATTAGCTCTGTTAAGTTGTTTATAAAGAGGCAGTGATGTGCCCAGTAGAAGGAAGAGAAAGCAAGAAATCATCACCTTCCTTGGGTCTCTCCTGCTCTGCTCTGCATGCCCACAGAAGGCATAGCCAGCCAAATCGTAACTACAGGAAGCTTCTGAATTTTTTGTTTGAGGTTTTTAGATTTGTTTAATTTGCTTTTTAGTGGAAAGAAATCACATGTGCCTGCTGGAGAAAAGTCAACAGTGCAGAGTATATAAAATAAAAATGAAAGTCTGTCTCCCAACCCACCCCGTCTCACTCCTACGGGCACCCTCTTTTGATAATTTGACAACTTTCTTCCAGACATTGTCTGCGAGAATATAAATGTACACATGTGTGCACGTCTGCAGTGTGATTCCGTTAGTTTTGCAGAGTACATGTATAATCTGTGCTGACTTTTTTGTAACACGAGGGGAGCCGCGCTCTCCTGTCCAATCACTTGATCTCATCCACGTCAGACGTGAACAGCAGCTTCTTGCTCCAGAGTATGGCCCCACCCAGACCCCTGGCTTCCCTCTTGATGGACACTTGGCTGCCCTCTGCTTTTCACTGTTACAAACGTGTGATGGGGAACTGCTTGTCCACATGTTTTGCAGATGAGTGTTTCCCTCGGATAGATGGTTGGAGTTGGAGTGGTTGATTGAGAGAATCTGTATGTTCAATATGTATGACGTATACTGTTCACTTGCTGCCTGTATTAGTTTCCTGGGCTGCTGTAACAAAGCACCGCACACTGGGTACTTAAAGCAACAGAAATTTATTCTCTCAGAGTTCTGGAGGCCAGAAGTCCATAATCAAGGTATTGGCAGGGCTGTGCTCTCTCTGAAGGCTCTAGCGGAGGATTCTTCCTTGCCTCTTCCAGGTTCTGATAGTCCTCAGGCGTTCCTTGACTGTGACAGCATAACTCCAGTCTCTGCCTCTGTGATCACGTGGCTGTCTTCCCTGTGTCTATCTCCAAATCTCCCTCTTTTTATAAAGATACCATTCATTGGATTTAGGGCCCACCCTAACCCAGTATGACATCATTTTCACTTGATTACAACTGCAAAGACCCAATTTGCAAGCAGGGTGATCTTCATGTACCTGGGCTTAGGACTTAACGTATTTTTTGAGGGGACACAATTCAGCCCACACCACTCCCCTAAAAGGCTATTTTCAGAGCCCTCCACAACAGCAATTCATAAACCCAGATTGGCAGGCACAAGTGACATCTTGGCAGCGGGGGCATCCTCCCAGCAGACAGTCGGTAAGCAGGACGCGTGCCCAGTGGAGTGTCTTTCTTGTCTTGGTGCCAGGATATGCCGGTGATTGGGAGGAGTGGGAAGAGCTTCCAGTACAATCAGGACGTGGTGCTGCTGCTGCTGATGGATGGCGTGCTATTCCACCTGCAGAGTGTCACGGCCTACGCCCTGATGGGGAAGATCTCCCCAGTGACCTTCAGGTGAGCAAGGGCCAGTGACGTCACTAGGGGGATGCAGGGGGTGCGAACCGCATCAGATTACACTATCAGAGGAGGTGACACCAAAATGACTGTCTATAAAATTTTTTGTGCACTGTTGAGACAGAAATTTATTATTTTTTATAAAAAATCCCTGTAATTAGCTATAACAACAACAAAAAAATTTCAAAAGCCCAGCTTACACGTATCAATATACCTACAAGGCTAAAACTCTATGCTGATTTACTTTTTGAACCTTCTAACACGCTCCGGTCAGAGCTGTCGTTATTACCCAATTATAATCATGCTTCCAATCACCTGGTTTCATCTGCGCGTGCTATATACATGGGCTGTTATTTCTGTTGCTGCCAGTATTTTTATAGTCACTGATTTTGTCAAATTTTCTGGCGTTTTAGCTGCACTATTGTGGTAATTTGCATGAGGGGGGTGACACCATGGGTTACCACACTGAGTGACACCAACCCTAGTGATGCCACGGGCGAGGGCTTTCCCGTGATGTGGGGCTCAGGCTGTCTGCCTACTTGATGCTTAGACATTTCTATAAATGCCTAAAATAATAAAGTTTAATAACATAATAATAAATAAATAATACTAAAAATAAATAAAAGTGAAAATTGATAATAAATACATAGAGTCCATGGACGGTGCAAATGGTTAAGTGCTCAGCTATTAGCCAAAAGGTTGACAGTTCAAACCCACCCAGAGGCACCTCGGAGGCAAACCTGGCAATCTGCTTCCAAAAGATCACAGCCTTGTGATGGAGCAGCTCTACTATGGAGCAGTTCTACTCTGTCACACGTGGGGTTGCCATGAGTCAGGGTTGCCATGAGTCTGAGTCCACACGACTACAACAACAATAAATAATAAGTGTAAATAAAAATGATCAATAATAAATATAAATAAGAAATAGATAATCAAATAAATGTAAATAAGTAATAAACGTAAATATAAATAAATAAGCCTTTTTTTTTTTTTAATTGTAAAACTCTGTACTGAGGACTGTGGTTGGAGACTCTAATTACTAGGCCACTGTGCACTGGTTCTATTTGAAATGCCAACAGTAAAGTAATGTGAAATGTATCTTTAGGGAAATTCCCTTAGAAATCCTTAAATTAGAAGAGGAGTCTGTTGTTACAGAGTGGTCTGTGCACCTTCTGCCCAGGACAAGGCTGTCATAGACCTGAGGATGGGCATGTCTCTCCCCTGCTGCCCAGCGAGGGAGCCACCAGCCACGTGGGGCCTGAAAATGTGCCCAGTCAACAAGGAACTGGATTTTTAATTCTACTTCATTTTAATCCATTTACATTTAAGTGGCCATGTGGCCAGTACCTCCCCATGGGGCAACATAGATCTGGAGACTTAGAGATGAGCTAAAGATCCCTGAGTTTCTTTCCCCTCTGGACCTGATGTAGTCAATGAGAGGACAACTTGAAGACAGGTGTTTTCAGTCACAAATGTAAGAGAATACACTGAAATGACCAGCAAGCAAAGAACAGAAAAATCTATTCTTGTTTTTTTTTTAATTGTGGTAAAAATATGTCTAACAAAACATTTGCCAATTCCACAATTCAATACTTTTTTAAAATAGCTTTTTTTGTTTTATTCATATTATAACCAGTACCAGTTCCTGCGGAGTCAATTCTGACTCACGGCAACCCCATGTGTGTCAGAGTAGAACTGTACTCTATAGGGTTTCCAGCAGATGATTTTTCAGAAGTAGATCTCCAGGCCTTTCTTCCGAGGAGCCTCTGGGTGGACTCAAAGCTCTAACCTTTTGGTCAGCAGCCAAGCACATTAACTATTTACACTACCACAGACATATATATAAACGTGTGTGGTGTGTGTGTTTGATCCCACTGGGATCAAAGTATATACATGTTCATTATAAGATTTTTTCTACTTTTATGCTTCTTTGACATTTTTCATAATAAAAAGCACTCCCTCCAGAAAGAAGGAGCAAGGCAGCCCTCTGTAAAGCTCCAGCACCCCCTGCAGTGTGCTCACCACCCCGTTTGTCACCTGGGGGGCACAGTGCCTCAACTCAGGGCCACCAGAGCCCTGCAGAGCGGCACTGCTGTTTGCTTGGCCAGGACAGGCCATGGTGCCCAGTGGGGTTGATGTGGGCGAGGCCCAGGCCACGGCGTTCCCCCTCTGACACATTGTCTGTTGTTACAGTGTCGCCAGCACCGTGAAGCATGCTCTGTCCATTTGGCTCAGTATTATCGTTTTTGGCAACAAGATCACCAGCCTGTCGGCCATTGGCACTGTTCTGGTGACGATCGGTGTCCTGCTCTACAACAAGGCCAAGCAGCACCAGCAGGAGGCCATGCGGAGCCTGGTAGCGAGCCCCGGCCGAGCCCTGGAGGAGGACGCTGAGCCTCTACTGCCATCGGACCCCCGTTCGCACCACTGAGCCCAGGAACCTCTGTGCTGCCCAGCGTCCACGGCATCGGCACCTCCCCTCCTCGCCAAAGGTGGACCCCTGATGCTGGACCTCCGTTGGTCACTCCTGCTCCCTGGGGTTTAGGCACAGGGATGCCCCACCTCCCTGGTCACTGTCAGAGTGCTGGAGACTAGGGAGTGTGCAGGTAGGCGCCACCTGCTGCTGGCCTGGTTTTCAGTGAAGATCCCTCAGCGTGTGGGGTTCCAGGTATCAGCTTCCTAGGCTGGCCCAGAGCCCAGCCTTCCTGCGCCCCTTGCCAAGTAATGTGAAAACCGCCTCTGCCTGAGTGCTGGGCGGGTATCAGAGCCTGGCCCCTGCAGCTGCCTTGCTGGATCACATCCAGCTCCAGTGAGGCCAGGCTCAAATCCTTTCTCTGGACAACCAGTTCGGTCACCTGTGAAGCTGGGCTGGGTCCAGGTGCCAATGTGAGCTGCACGCCCAGTGCCAGCAGAGAGAACTCTGCTGCCCATGCTAGCCACCAAGGGCCACCGAAGCTGCAGCCTGACCCCCACCGTCTGGAGACACAGACCTGGTCAGCCTTCAAGGGTGCTGCCCCAGGTGCGGAGCCATGTCATGATGGGGGGTGGGGCAGCTGGGGTCACGGCAACAAGTGCCCCCTCCCCAGCTGAGGTCAGGGTATTTGGCACCTGTCTCCCCACCATCCTACCCCCGAGATGACGTGGGGCCAGGGCACCCTCTCCCTGACCCTGCCACAGTCTCATTCCTTTGCCCTCAAAGCTGCAGTATCGTGTGGCCCGTAGGAACACAGATCATTTCTGGGGGCTGGGAAAATCACTTCAGTGAGGTTAAGAAGGGAAAGGTGTACACCCTGCCCTCCCACCCCCCCACCCTGTGTCAACCTGTGCTATCGTAAGCTGCCCCGTCCCTGAGTGTCCTGCCCCTCGTCCATGGCCAGCTGAAGCTTCCCTGACCTGGGGACTGAGGATAAACGTCTTCAGTGTTTATGGGTGGGAGATGCTGACCCTCCCTGCCCCTGATTCTCCTGGGCTCTGAGTGCCACACAGAGCGGGCCATGGGGAGTGTTCCCTGGGGCATGTCTGTCTTCACTTGGTGTGGCCCGGCCTGTAGCTGTACGCCTTGAGGGTCTTAATCTCATCTACGGAGCAGCACGTGAAGAGTCTGCCATGAGAGCTGATGAGCATGAGAGCATTTGGCAGAGTGCCAAGTGTTAACTGTTCCTTGAACTGCATTTAAAATGACATGTGATTTTTTAAAAAGGGAGTGCGCACACAGCTGGTTTCTGGAATGCATGATGTGTGTTTGGTAAAAGGACCAAGCGGGGCTGGCTCCTCCATGAGGTCGAAGCACACCTGGCCACCAGGTGAGCTGAGCCAGGTCTGTGGCCGGCGCTGCCCTCCGTCCCCAACACACACTCCCAGTGCTCAAGGAGCCTGAGGAGTGAGTGTGCGGGCGACCACACCAGGCGTCTGGGCAGCAGGCTGTTGGAGGATTTCTACCTCCTCACTTTACTCTCCATCTCGCATCCTGGCAGGATTTCTGATTGGGACACAGTCCATCGCCAGCCAGTCTTTGAGACCTCCTTCATCACCCTAAGCTCTGAGGGCTTGTCAGGTGCAGTTCCACCCAGGAGCCAGACTCGGTGGGCCCTAGCTCTGCGGAGGGTGGATGCCAGTTAGGACAGGGTGGGCTAACAGAGAAAAGAATTCACAGCACCAGCCGGCCCCACGTCTCCTCCCTGCTGTACCATCTTGGCTCCCATAGTGGTTTCACCACTTTCCACCTGGCTTCTCACCTGGAAAATGTAAAGCAGGAAAATAGCCCCTCCTGGAGATCCAGTCTCTCAGAAACAAAGAGCAATAATTCCATCTCATTGAGTTTCACCCACTTGGAAAGTTTGCCTTGGTGACTGATCAAAGCCAGGCCCTGCGTGTACACAGTACTCTAACTGCGTGAGCCGTCCTTTCTGCGTAGCTGACTCCTGTGTGCAGGGACCTGTGGTGTCTGCTCCCTGGCACCCAGCTGGCCTTGGCTGTGAGAATGTTTTCTCGTTCCCGTCATCTTTTTTTGCTTTTCTCAAAAGCAAAACTAAATTGATTGGAAGTGGCTGGGTGACAGGGTATCCCAGGGTGGCTGGAGGGAGTGGAAGATACCCAGCCAGGGCCCTCGGGAATGCCTCCCTTGAGAACATGGCTGCCTAGCCAGCTGCTGACTGCTGGAGTATGGCAGAGGTGGGAGAGGCGTCTGTGGCCACCCCATGGCAGGTTTGCACATTGACCTTCTCAAAGACTGTCATCTGAGCATGACCAGACACTCAGGCCCCTGGTTTCTGAGTATTTTCAAGATTTCCAAGTCCTGTGTCCCCTGTGGAAATTCGTGCCTCCTCTCTGCCACTACAGTTTGCCCTCAACTACTAACCTAAATGTTGGCATCTCGAATACCACCCCGCCCCAGCAGTGCTGAGGAAGAAGGCCCTGGCGATCTGCTTCTATAAAGATGACAGCCAAGAAAACCCTATGGAGCTCAGCTCTACTCTGTAGCACATAGGGTTACCATGAGTCGGAACTGAATCAACAGCAGTGGGTTTGGTTTTTGGTCTCTGCCACTCCTACCAGCAGCTTTCGGCCTGTTTCAGTTTTTCAAATGTTTCCAAATGTGTGCAAAGGAGCATTTTACTAAATAGTTAGCAATGAGGCAACCACCTACAGAGCTGCTTTTGAGACCTCTCCTTGTCCTGAGTAGAAAGACGGTAGAGTCTGTGCCAGGCCCGCTTCCGATGTGCAATCCCACCCTCCTCAGTCCTGTCCCACACGCCCCCAGAGTCGGTTTTCAGCATCCACTTCTCAAGGCTTTTCCAGGACAGCCCTGCACCTTGAGTTGGGAGCTGAAAGGCTGCAGCCCAGTGTGGCCATTTGTTTAATGACTGTACAGAGACAATGTGTTTTTTATTAACTTTGCCTAGTGATTTTTATAGAATAGTATGTTCTTTCCATTGAACCGTTGCAGATGTGCTGTATAAACACTGATACTGGGTGTCGTCACTCGTGCTGAGTTAACTCCTCCTGGATCCGTGGTTATTGTCTGTGCCTTGGTAAAGAAACAAAACACTTGAACCCAACCTTCTGTGTCGAATCATCTGCTGACTTACATCGACGTTTAAAGATGTACAGATTTCTAATGTTGAAAAACATTTCCACTACGGAATGGTATTAAAAGCTTTCCTTTGAAATTTCTATAATCGTAATTTCATGCATATCAGCATTAGAAAACCTACCTGGAAAGCTGAGAATACTCTTGCACAATCCAAAATGTACCTATAATTTGAAAAAATAAACATGGTGACTTAAAAACAGTTAAAAAAATTTTAAAGTGCTGTACAAGGAATATAAACTAAATAAAGATATGCTTTGCATCTGATATTTAAAATATTTTTCCCCAAACCAATGGGTTTTGCTTCCTGCTGTGACACTTTTGTTGGGCTGGTCATTTAGACAGATCAGTGAGGGGAGAAGAAGCACAACATGGCTTTTTAAATCTGTCCATGTGATGTGCTTTTAAAGCCTGAAAGTATTTTCATTGTTTCCCTCACTGAAAAAAGTGAACACGGATGTAATTAGATGTAGAAATCATTTTCTCTCCTTTTGCCTTTGACCAACATTGCACTAAGGGCTTTATTTCCGGAAATACGTACCAACCTTGGCTTGGGCCTCTTCATTTTTTTAAATTTATAAATAAGAACATCCAGGAGGAGTCTGGCAATTTCTCTCTGTCCTGGCTGAGGGAGTCGGGGGGGTCACAGTGACTGTGGGTCTGCCGCTCACCTGAGTTCAGAGTGTAGAAATCTTCAACTGTGCCATCTCTAAAGTATGTCCTGGGGGCTCTGATTCTGAGTTCAGTGCCACTGTTCCTTGCCCCGATGTCCAGACTCAGTCAGAAACTGTTCTAATGGGCGAAGTCTTGTTTTTGGGTTTGTTTGCTGTTTTGTTCTGCTTTCGTTTGAGGGAAAGTGGCATACGGCTGATTTGCTGTGTCTAGACTTGGCAAATCTGTGAGCTGAGATGTCTGAGCCTACATGCAGTTCCTCTGGTTAAGGAGAGAAGAGCTGGAGTCTGGTGATTTTCCCACTTTGAGAAACTTGAAGATTTTATCACTAATTGTCTACATCAGAGCCAAATTATATTTGCTTCACACCAAACGAAACTGTGGAGAACTAAAAGTACATCACGAAATGTTTAGAGTGTTTCGTATGTCGCCTACTTCAGTGTTTATGTAACTACATTATTGCTTTCTAGAAAATGGTTTTGTCAACTGATTTAGCAAGCCACTGTTAATTCCGTTGTAATAAATGGATACTGTGTAATTTATCCTGTGGATCCCTTCTGCTATTTTTACCTAAATAAATAGCCATGGTAGCAACAGTCTATGATTCTTGTTCTGCAAAAGTAAACTAAATGTGAAATATGTCCCTGTGTCTTTGGCTTTCTTCATTGAGTAACTGTCAAGCATTTGTGTTACACAACTCATCAAAGTTGGCTTCTTATTGCCTTCAACCAGTTTCCAGCATGAATGGAGGGAAAAAAAAGGAAGTTTTCCCAAGTATCAAGAACTCAGGAAGCAAAATGGGAGCCTGAATACACGAAGTAAACATCTCATTCTGGGAGAAAAATTCCAAGCAGTAGTTCAAATCCACTGCATCCACCAGTTCAATTTGTCACATTCTCCTGCATTTTCCATTTCAGACCAGTAAATACAGATGAGTGTTCACCTTTCATAGTTTCTTCCCTGGGATTCAGGATGTTGGATTGTTAGTTTTCTGTTAGTACTTACAACATAAAACATTCACAGAATAATTTGAGATACTGAAGGGGAGTTTTTCATTGTATTAAAGAGTTTATTTACTTTTGGAAAGATTCATGAATTGGGCAGCATGGTCCCAGTAAAATTAGGAAGTGCTCCCCCTAACAAAAGCAAGCTGGAATTTTATATAAACAGAAAGGCAGAGAAAATGACAGAACATTTAAAAATATATATTTTGACATACCATTATGTCATGCAGAGAGCAAAATGTACAAACCACATCTTATCTATTCAAAAAGATCTGTTTAATGCCTAAGCTAAAAAAAAATCTGAGTACTCCACTGCCATCCAGTGGATTCCAACTCATAATGACCCTATAGGGCAGAGTAGAACTGCCCCATCGGGTTTCCAAGGCTGTAATCTTTACGATTCCGACTCATAGCGACCCTATAGGACAGAGTAGAATTGTCCCATAGGGTTACCAAGGGGCGCCTGGTGGATGCAAATTGCTGACCTTTTTTTGGTTACCAGCCATAGCTCTTAACCACTATGCCACCAGGGTTTCCAAGCAAGTAGACTAGTCAAAATGTATCCGTAAGCAGAGGTGTGCATACAAATGAGGTCAAACGAGATAGGAATTTAAAAAGTGGCCTTTAAGGTAAGATCTTTCAGACTTTTTAACTCAGCAAATCTGGGGCACAAAGTACAAATTTGACAATTGTTATCAGTCTCTACCTGGAGGTTCTGATTCAGTAGGTTTGAGGTGAGCCCCTGGGAGTTAGGGTCCTTAAAAACCATTTGGGTGAATTTGAGTAGCAGCCAGTTTGGGGAACACTGCCTTAACGTAAATTTTAAAATCACATTGTGAAAGCTCTATTCTCTGTTTTTGTGCAACGCAGAGCCAAATGCGCGGCTGTAGTAGGCGAGGCTTATCCTCGTTCTTGCTGGCGCAGTGACTAAGAATTCGGCTGCTACGCAGTTCGAATCCACCAGCCGCTCCTTGGAAACCCTATGGGGCAGTCCAACTCTGTCCTATAGGGTCGCTATGAGTTGGAATGAATTAGATGGCAATTTTTTTAAATCTGAAAATGTGGGGTTAAACTGGGGCATCGGAGGTCCTTCCATAGCAGCCAAGTTGCTGTGGAGCTCCGGCCCAGATGACCTGTTCGGGTAAGAAGTAGGCAAACGGGGCGCGTTTCCCCCGAAAGACAGGCTGCCCTCCCTGTACACCGACGCGGCAGGGCAGAACTCCCGGGACTGCTCTAGGGCGCCATGGGCCAAGGGTTAAGTACGGACGTGCAGCCTGTGGGCGGCAGCCCAAAAGTCTCGATTCAGATCCGCCAGCCTCTTCGGGCAAAGGGTGGCCGGGATAGGGGGGTGGGGCCTAACCCGGGCGGGACTCGCTCCGCCCCAGCACCGGGCCCTGGCGTCACCAGCCTGCGCCGACGCAGAAAGTGACGTAAGGGCGCGCGCCGGGCAGCGTTCTCGGATCTAGAGCAGGCGGCAGCCCTGCCCTCGCGCGTCATCAGTCCGCACCGACGCAGGAAGTGACGATACTCTTAGGGCGCTCCGGGCGGTGTTTTTTCTCAGGTTACTGGACCGGCGGCGGCAGCGGCGACGCAGGGGTGTGTAGAGGTGGGACGGGCCAGACGTGGGAGGGCGGCCGGCGCACCGCGAGGTTTCGTGTCCGAGCGGGACTCGGAGCGGGCTGGGAGGCCGGTGGCGCGCGACACTCCTGCTCCCCCGTACCGTCTTGCCCCTCGCGGGGCTTGGGGTTAAGGAGGCGGAGGGCCCAGGGGCTCCCGGGCACCGACTCTCGCCTGGCCGAACCTAAGGTTTGTGTGGCTGATCCTAAGGGCATAGGAGCCCCACGCTCTGGGAAGGTGGCTTTGTCGGGGAGCACACCCTCTCTCGTAGCATCTCTTGCCCCCCAGCCTCTCCTGCATCCTGTGGCGGAGGGCGCAGCTGTCAAAAGCTCCAGTGACTTCACTTAGCCCAAGTAGTCCTTCTGATAATTCTTTTGACAGCAAAAGTAGTGCTTGATGAGTGTCAGGTACTGGGCCAAGACCTTACTATATATTATCTCATTTAATCATTGAACAATGCTATTACGTAGGTGCTTATCCCCATTTTTCCGAATTGTAAACTGAGAAGAAGTAACTTGCCCAAGACCATACAGTAATGACAGAAACGAGATTTGAATCCAAGCGGTCATTTTTCAGTGCCTGCTTCTCTTAACTAAGATTCGGACTGAAGCACTCAAGAGTGGTTAGTCTTTAAATGTTCAGAATCAACAGAGCATTAAACCATAGCTTACTGTGCCGTACAGTAGCTTGAATTATTTTTCTTTTTGCAGTGTTTTAACTCAAATGGGTGATGAAAAGGACTCTTGGAAAGTGAAAACTTTAGATGAAATTCTTCAGGAAAAGAAACGAAGGAAGGAACAAGAGGAGAAAGCAGAGATAAAACGCTTAAAAAATGTAAGCCATGTTTTTTTATTTAAGTGATTTTCTTAAAGGAGATTTAATGTCTTTGCCCTCATTTTTCCATTAGAACAACGCTTCTTCAGTCAAGTTCTTTTGTACTTCCAAATGTTGCAGGTGAGCCCAAAGTCTGTTCTAAAAATTAACAAAAACAGTCAGATGCCCAGTTTACATTGAAGTCAGATTGATAACACACTAAAACTGCATGTAGACAAGACTGTCTATGTGGAGAATAAAATATTTTGTACCTAAAATCGTTAGTGCACTTGAATGAATTCTTCTCGTTTCATGATTAATGTATTCATGATACATTCCCAGGTATTTTTAACATAGTAGGAAGTTGTCTTGAAATTCATAATGTTTTTTATTTTTCTTGGTTGGCATAATAACCTACTGAAAAAAAGCTTTTTAAGAATTTGATAAAGAGGTATTGGAAAAAATATCTCTTTTGGTAAGATTATCCATAAACCACTATAAAGTGTTTATGATCGACACAGTGGGGCTGCAACTGTGGGCTCAAACATAGCAACAATTGTGAGGAGGGCGCAGGACCAGGCAGTGTTTCCTTCTATTGTACATGTGGTCGCTATGAGTCAGAACTGACTCGATAGCTCCGAACAACATGAGTACTGTATGATGTAAAATATGTGGTGTTTAAGATACGCTTTAAGGCACAATTTTGACTCATGTAAGCAACTAACACACTTGGCATAGAGTCTCATGTCCCTTGTCAAATATGCTGGTTTAAAATTTGTCATCTCAGGCTTTGGGTTACAGAGAATTATGATTTTAACATTGTGGGTTTTGAATGAAAGTTTTTTATATTTGTGTAAAATTGGCCCATTCAAAATGTATGTGAAACTTTTTAAAATGTTGGCAAGGCTTGACTGATTATCATTTAAAATCAGGTTATCTATGAGGAAAATGACTGGTTTTCTCTTTGCTTCTTAGTCTGATGACCGGGATTCCAAACGGGATTCCCTTGAAGAGGGGGAGCTGAGAGATCACCGCATGGAGATAACAATAAGGAACTCGCCTTATAGAAGAGAGGACTCTATGGAAGACAGGTAAGAGAGTGCTCGGGAAGTAGAAGAGCCCACATGTTGCAAATGCACTTTGTTGATGAGACACGTTGTGGATCTCTCCATGTATTTGTGGGCGTCACTGGCCTTTCTGAGTATGACTTTGAAGAAGTTTGTGGTCATGAGTTTAGGTTTACCTCATGGTTGAAAGTGACTCGTGTGTCAGTAACAACTGCTGTCTAAAATTCTGTACCAATAAACCGGAGTGGAATGCTGAAAGATACCCTGAGCAAGGCTGTTTAGCAGAAGCATTTATACCAAAGTCTCTACTTTCTGACATTTCTTCCTTTGCTGTGATATCTCTTAATTTCTTTCCTTTTCATATTCCTTTATCAAGTAATTAAGGATAACAGTCAGAAATTAAGGTAGAATACCTGCTTGCAAAAGCCTAAGGTGTGAGTTCTCCCAAGATTTTGACCATAAAGAATCAGTTGGAAATATTGTTAAATAACCTTTTGAGATCATTAAGGTTGGTGAAAACTGCAGGGCCTTTTTAAAACAGCTTTTTTAAGGTATAATCAACATAAAATGAACTATATGTATTTAGAAAGTACAGTTTGATACATTTTTACTATCCGTGCCACTGTCACCACAATCAAAATAATGAGCACGTCCACCACCCCCAGAAGTCTCTGCGCAGAGGCATGTTTGTTCTGTATGCCACGTTGGTTTCCCACTTGGACGTTTCATTGGAATCTGTATTTAACGTACAGTTTTGGCTTAAGTTTCAGAGTTAACATAATTTTCAAAATGATGATTCAGGCTCAATTTTATTCATACCCTGAACCCTACATTTTTCTGGGTTCGGGAAACTCCATAATGTGCTAATGCTGCCTACGCATACTTTTCCCAGTGTGATGTGATGCTGTTGTATCTTATTATTTCAGAGGCGAGGAAGATGACTCTTTGGCTATCAAACCGCCCCAGCAAATGTCCCGGAAAGAAAAAGCTCATCACAGAAAAGACGAGAAGAGAAAAGAGAAACGTAGGCATCGTAGTCATTCAGCAGAAGGGGGTACAGACGTATTTGTTTTCTTTTATATCATATTTAAGTGTGGTTTGTTTCTCGTTTCAGAATCTACTGTCTTCTCTAGGACATAGTTGCAAGAGAAGAGAAAACAAAAATTTAGCTAAAAGTGTAAACTTACTATCGCTCATTCTGAATAGCTGTTTCATTTTCCTTCTGGTGATGTGTTTTTCCTCCATTATGTTGATTTGGGATAGTTTAATTACACATAAAACTTACCTTAAGTCAGTAAGTATAGGGGAAGAACACATCCTTCAATGCTAAATTGCCATAACTGAAGAACAAACACCAAGTCAAAATAATGAGCTTGTTTTGACTAGAGCTTTGATCTCATACCACTGTCATGAGCTCCTTAGGAGTGTTGGAACTGGGAAAACTGGACCCAGCGCCTAATTTAAACCTCATTGTTATAGATGCAGTTGATTAATTAACATGGTTTTATAACATGATGTAGAAGCCCACTAAAAGGAGAAGAGCTTCATTCTGTATTCTTTATAAATGACGATTTTTAAAATTTATAAAACTAATATATCCGGATGGCTTGTTATAGATTGTCTTTTGTTTTTAATATAAAATCATGATTGTTATTCTTAGTCATTAAATATTCGTTCCCTTTTTGACTTTATACAAGTTAAATTTTTGGAAGTTAAGTTTCTCTGCATGACACTTCTAATTTCTCATTAGGGAAGCATGCTAGAGTGAAAGAAAAAGAAAGAGAACATGAACGTCGGAAACGACATCGAGAAGAACAGGATAAAGCTCGCCGGGAATGGGAGAGACAAAAGAGGAGGGAGATGGCAAGAGAACATTCCAGGAGAGAGAGGTGAGAGGGGTTGGTTATGAAGCTTTAATCACATACTTGTTCAGGATCCCACTAGAGCAATGAAAGAGCCGATCAGATTGACACACGGAGAGAAACTTGGCAACATAAGGCAGATTTGCTGTAGATGTGGTATGTAAGCATGGAGTTAATGGAGCAATAAACGTTGGGTGTTGTTAACCAAGAGAATTGTCCTGAAGGAAGTGAGTTTTTACTCCATCTTGAAGACAGAAATGGGTGTGAGAAGATAATGAAAGGAACCAGAAAGCTGTGTGTTGGCTTCTTCCAGACGGAGGCTCATAGGGTAGGGGAGGTAAATCAGGAACCAGACTATGAGCAGGGTCCCAGTTCAGTGCCAGAAAGCTAGCCTCAGTGGAGAGTGGGCTGCAAGGGAGGGACAAGAGGAAGAGGTTGGGGTCCTGAGGTAGGAATTTGGATGTGAGGAAATGAAGATTTAGGTTGGACTTGTAATGCTGGAGACGGGAAGAAAAATACAGTCAGAGAAACACTCTTCCTAGACCCGTTAGCTGACTATAGGTAAGGAGGAGGAGGAGTTGTAACCATGTCTGCCCTTAGGGCATCAGGATGGTGAGGGAAGAAGTACCCTTAGGGAGATGAGTTTGTACCACGTGTGCAGTAGTGTGTTGTGCGTAAATCATAATCAAGAACAGATCATCTTGGGGACAGTCAGCCAAGTTAGCATTCTGACACAGAGTTGGTGTGTGGTCATTCATCATTTATCCATCAACAAGTCTATATTGAGCACCTGCTCTGATCCAGGCTCTGATCCAGGTGGTCTCGGCCAGAAGAACAGGAAATATGGTTGTTTGGGTTGCAACAGAAATAGACTCTTGTTCTCTCAAACAAAAATACGAAAAGTAAGAAAGGAGATCTCAAAAGCCTTGAAACAATCGGGACAGCCCACAGTTGAGGGAGGCTAGGTTACTCGGCAGTTCCCGGGGAAGCTGGGTCACCAGCTCTGGGAGGTCAGTTCCCAGGGAAGCTGGGATAGCAAGCTTTGGGTTCAGTTGCCAGGGGAGCTGGGTCACTGGTTCTGGGCATTAGTCCTCAAGTGCCTCTCTTTATGCTTGGATTCCCAGGAGAGAGCGTCTGTTTAACCTTCCATGAATCAGGTCTTTGCTCCAAATCCCTCTGTGGCCCAGGAAAAGGGTGCCATAGCCCCGGTGTGAGTCTTGGGCCACTTCTGTGTTTTGAGGACCTTTCCAGAAAAAGCTTGGGAGTCAGCCTGCTTAGTGTCTGCCACAGGGATAGGAGGAATCTGAGGTAGGAGGAGGATGCTGCTGACCATTCCTAGCAGCCGAGGCTGGACAGTATGGGCATGTAAAGAAAGTGTGTTAGAGTAGTGTTTGTTCTCATTGGTGCAGGGGGTGTGGGAGAACCTGAAGCCGAGGAAGTAAAGGTCTGAGATCAATGGAGGGAGAGCAGAGCCTTGAAAGTATTCAGGTTAGTAGCATATTGAACACCTGTGGTTTGTAACACTGATGCCCGAAGACCAGACGAGTTGTGGAATGACATGGAGGACACCAAACCTGAAGAAAGCAGAAGGTCGTTAAACAGAGAAAAGAAAGACCAAAATGGATGTCAGAAGAGACTCTGAAACTTGCTCCTGAACATAGAATAGCTGAAGCTAAAGGAAAAAATGATGAAGTAAAATTGCTGAACACAAGATTTTAAAGAATGGCTCCAGAAGACAAAGTGAGGTATTAACAATGAAACGTGCAGAGACCTGAAGTTAGAAAACCAAAAGGGAAAAACACGCTCGCATTTCTCAAGCTGAAAGAACTGAAAAAAAAGTTTAAGCCTTAACTTGCATTATTGAGGGATTGTATGGGCAAAAAATTGAATGACGCAGGAAGCATCAAAAGAAAGTGGAAGAAATACACAACAGGATCACTGTCCCAGAAAAATTAGTTGACATTTAGCCATTTCAGGAAGTAGCATATGATCAAGAACCGATGGCACTGAAGGAAGAAGTCCAAGCTGCACTGAAGGCATTGGTGAAAAATAAGTCTCCAGAAATTGACAGAATACCAATTGAGATGTTTCAACAGATTGTACAAGGCAGGAAGCTCTCACTCCTCCATGCCAAGAAATTTGCTAGACAGCTACCAGGCCAATCAAGTGGAAGAGATCCATATTTGTGCCTGTTCCTAAGAAAGGTGATCCAATGGAATGTAGAAATTATCGAACAATATCATTAATATCACAAACAAGTGAACTTAATGCTGAAGATAATTCAAAACATGGTTGTAGCAGTACGTCAACAGAAACCGCCAAAAATTCAAGCTAGATTCAGAAGAGTATGCGGAATGCGGGATATGATGGCTGATGTCAGATGGACCTTATCTGAAAACGGACTACCAGAAAGATGTTTACCTGTGTTTTATTGACTATGTAGAGGCATTGGACTGTGTGGATCATAACAAATTAATGGATAACATTGCAAAGAATGGGAATTCCAGAACACTTAATTGTGTTCCTGAGGAACCTGTACATAGACCAAGAGGCATATTGCATGGTTTAAAATCAGGAAATGTGTGCATCAGGGTTGTATCCTTTCACCATATTTATTCTGTCTATAATGCTGAGCAGGTAATTCCAGAAGCTGGACTAGGTGAAGAAGAACATGGCATCAGGACTGGAGGAAGACTCATTAACAAGCTGCGTTATGCAGATGACGCAACCTTGCCTGCTGAAAGTGAAGAGAACTTTAAACATCTACTAATGAAGATCAAAGACTACAGCCTTCAGTTTGGATTATACCTCAACATAAAACAAAAATCCTCACAACTGGACCAATAGGGAACATCATGATAAACGGAGAAAAGATTGACGTTTTCAAAGATATCATTTTACTTGGATCCACAATCACCACCCATGGAAGCAGCAGTCAAGAAATCAAACGACGCATTGCACTGGGCAAATCAGCTGCAAAAGACCTCTTTAAAGTGTTAAAGAGCAAAGATGTCACCTTGAAGACTAAGGTGCACCTGACCCAAGCCATGGTGTTTTCAGTCGCCTCATATGCATGCGAAAGCTGGACAGTGAATAAGGAAGACTGAAGAAGAATTGATGCCTTTGAATTGTGTTGGCGAACATTAACTATACCATGGACTGCCGGAAGAACGAATAAATCTGTCTTAGAAGTACAGCCAGAATGTTCTCAGAAGCGAGGATAGTGAGCCTTCGTCTCACTTTGGACATGTTATCAGCAGAAACCAGTCCCTGGAGAAGGACATCGTGCTTGGCAAAGTAGAGGGTCAGCGAAAAAGAGGAAGACCTTCAATGAGATGGATTAACACAGTGGCTGCAGCAATGGCCTCAAACATAGCAACAATTATGAGGATGGTGCAGGATTGGGCAGTGTTTCATTTATTGTGCATGGGGCCACTATGAGCCAGAACTGACTCGACAGCACCTAACAACAGCAACAACAACAATGGTTTGCAGGCTTTCTCCTGAATATTGTTCAGTGAGTGGGTGGTTTAGGATAGAAAAAAGCCACCAGTTGCTGTTGAGTTGATTCCAATTCATGACAACCCCGTATATGTCAACCTCAACTATGCTCCATAGCGTTTTCAGTGTCTGATATTTTGGTAGTAGATCTCCAGGCCTTTCTTCTTAGGTGCCTCTGAGTGGACCCAAATCTCCAACCTTTCAGTTAGCAGCCAAGTACACTGACAGTTTGTACCACCCAGGCAGTCCTTAGGATAGAAATGAAGGTTGATAGATGAAATTTGGGGCCTCCATATTGACTTCCTGGAAGGAGAAGGCAGGAGAAAGAAGGATAAAAAGGTGTGTATTGGGCAAGACTTCTGGTTATAGCTGGTTATTAGTCAATCAGCTCCCCAAAAAGCAACTATAAAGCTGGATAAAAATGATAGAAAATAGCTGTATCAGTGCTTTGGAAATGGACCAAAGGCACAAAATAATCTGAGATGCATTTGTGCTTGAAATGCTGCTGACCTTTGGGCAAGAAAGTGGGAATCTGTGGAATTCCGGCCTGGATTGGTGCTTCCATGACTCCTTCCATCCCCAGCTTGGTCAGCACAGAGTTCTACCAGGGCGGGACAGGTATGAGGACTGGCAGCTTGTCTGTTGGGTCTGATGGGGACTTTCAGTTTGGAGCAGCATGCAGCTGCCTGCCCAACAGCGTCTTCAGTGGAAGCGATGCTTTCTGGGCAGGAACTGCCAGACAGCAGTGTTGTTTCCTTTTCCTTGGGGGATGGCATCATTCTGCAGGACTTGGGGCTCACAGGAATAGTGCTCTGTAGGTGTTTGGTTCTGTGTTTTCTGCTCTGAAAAACCTCTCGTGGTTGTTTATAAATGGGACCTAGAGTGCTGGGATGGAATTGTCTTTCTGGCGCTTGTGCTGCAGGGACCGTCTGGAGCAACTGGAGCGGAAGCGGGAGCGGGAGCGGAAGCTGCGGGAGCAGCAGAAGGAGCAGAGGGAGCAGAAGGAGCGTGAGCGGCGGGCTGAGGAGCGACGCAAGGAGCGTGAGGCACGCAGGGAAGGTAGGCGACGGGGTGCGCTGCAGGGGCTGGGGCAACCAGGCAGGGAGGGCTCCCAAAGAAACCGCTCACCTCTCTGGGCTCCACACTGATGTGAGCCTGTGCACAGGTAACACGCACACGGCACCCGCAAGGTGGTGTGATTGACGACAGGATGGGGACCTGCTCGAGGCCACAGAGGGTATAGGAAGTGCTGGGGGTCCAAGGGCTGTGGATCCCACCACAGTCCCCAGCCTCAGGCGGTCCACATGTGTTGCTGCCTGTGTTGGCTGGCATGTGTCCTGGAGGTGGGTTCTTAGCACCCATGGTTGCCTTCCCACTCCCTGTCTGACCAGTGGTCATCAGTCTGGAGACTTGTTTGATCCTCAGGGAAGCTCATGGCCCCTGGGCTTCCTGGCCTCCACCCCGTGCTGTTGGCACCACGTACACACTGTGGGCGTTTCTGTTATTAGAAGGTGGGGTGACTGAGAGGAGGAAAGAGGGTGCTGCAGCACATCCCCCATTCCGTACTGTGGTTACTCAGTGTCCGCACATCACCGCACCATGCGGGAGGAGTACGGTGAGAAGGTGAAAGCCAGCCACTGGAGCCGCAGCCCACTCCGGCCGCCACGGGACAGGTTCGAGCTGAGCGACGGCCGGAAGCCAGGTGAGGTGGCGGGCCTGCTTCAGGCCCACGTGCGGGGGTCTCCGTGCACAGACTGCTGCTGCTGTGTTCACACAAGCCCTCACGGAACGCCAGCCAAGGCCCTGCTGTTCTTTTTCACAATAAGATAGTGTGTTCATTAGAGTGCTTCCATTTTATGACGGGCTGTTAACATTTACGTGTAACAAACCTATTTATCGATTTAATTTTTGGCTGAAAAATTGATTTCTGGTCCTTTCAAGAGTGGCTCTTTCAGTTCCATGTATGGGGATGAGCTGTTATTCATACACACTGAAGTTAATCATTATGTGAAAGACACCATCTGAGTTTTGGGCGCTGTTATCTTGTGAAGGAGCCCTGATAGCACAATGGTTAAAACGCTTGGCTGCTAACCAAAAGGTCAGTGGTTCAAACCCACTAGCCACTCCACGGGAGGAAGATGTAGCAGTCTGCTTTCGTAAAGATTTATAGCCCTGGAAACCCTATGGGGTCGCTATGAGTTGGAATCAAGTTGACAGCAGTGGATTTGGTTTGTTTATTTTCTTTTTCTTTTTTTTTTTGTTACCTTGTTTATTTAAAAACATTTCCCCAAACTCATCTTCAATGATTTGTTTCACAGTAAAAGAAGAGAAAATGGAAGAAAGAGATCCCCTGTCTGACTTGCAAGATGTCAGCGACAGTGAGAGGAAGACCAGCTCGGCAGAGTCATCCTCAGGTAGCTGCACACCTGGCCATACACCTCGCCACACACCTGGCCCAGGCCTCACCTGCCTCTCTGAGAGCCAGGCCAGTGGGCTCACCTCACTACTCTGTGTCCTTCCTCAAGCGGAGTCAGGGTCTGGCTCAGAGGAGGAGGAGGAAGAAGAGGAGGAGGAGGGGAGCAGCAGTGAGGAGTCAGAGGAGGAGGAGGAGGAGGAAGAAGAGGAGGAAGAGGAAGAGGAAGAGGAGACGGGGAGCAATTCCGAGGATGCTTCCGAGCAGTCGGCTGGTGAGGAGAACATGGGCACGGATTTTAAATTTTAATTATGAAAGTACTATATATTTGTCACAGAGCATGTAGACAATACAGAAAAGCAATGTGACGTCTTTAGAAACGTTTTGAAATGGAGGGTGCCTTGCTACCTGGGACTCCATGAGATCCCAACTCGATCACTGAGATGCTTCTTGCTTTCCATCAGCCAAGCTGACCCTCATTCTGCCTGTCGAGGGGTCTGGCGCGTGCTACAGCGCGACGCTGGCTCCGGTCACCTGGGCGGACACCTGCTTTCTCTTGCAGAAGAAGTGAGCGAAGAGGAGATGAGCGACGACGAGCGAGAGAATGAAAACCACGTCCTCGTGGGTGAGCGCTCGCCCCGCAGTGGCCCCCGTCTCCTCGTGTGTCCCTGAGTGCGGGGATGCACTCTTCCTGGGCGAGGCCTCAGGGGTACCCTGGGTTTTCTACATGTTTAGGGTCTTCACCAGGGTGGGGAGAGGGTCTTGGCACATGCTGGTTCCTGGTTCTGTAATTGGGTGTCCTTTGAAGTTCCAGAGTCACGATTTGACCGCGATTCTGGGGAGAGTGAGGAAGGGGAGGAAGAAGGGGGTGAGGGGACCCCGCAGAGCAGCGCCCTCACTGAAGGAGACTGCGTGCCCGACTCGCCTGCTCTGTCGCCAATCGAGCTCAAGCAGGAGCTGCCCAAGTACCTGCCCGCCCTGCAGGTCAGCCCCTGCTGCCCCGAGCGTGTGGCACAGTCCCATGTGTACTAAGGAGGGTGCTGTAGAGGGTGCCCTGTGGGGCGGGTGCAAGTCACACCTGTGTGCTGGGCACTGCGGGGGGGGCATGACAGCCGGGCATTGTGTTTGCACCTTTGTGGCCCAGCAGTCTGGGTCGCTGGGCCCTGTTGGCTGTCCTCAGCCATGCCGAGCATGGAAGGGCCTTGGGGTCTTGGCAGTCGCCACTAGAGGTGGCAGCCTGGGCACAGCTCAGATGGTTCTGTGGCACAGAGTGCCAGGCAGCTGTTCCCAGTGCCAGCCTTCCTACCCCTCAGAGTGTTTGAGCCACATAGCTCAGCCAGGCCTGCACCGGTTGATGGTGCCTCGAGGTGTGGGGAGGCATGGGGGAGTGCGTGGAGGGTGGGTATTGGGGGTCAGTACGAGGTAGCCCTGGGTCTTCACACTGAGGTGCCAATGTGGAGGGGCTTTGGTTCATTGTATCCATAATAAAGTGGCCCATGCTCACAGAAGGAAATAGGGAAAGGAGAAAGTTGCTCCTGGTCCCCCTCCCAGCCTCATCCTGGCATACCCCAAAGACACCCAGGGGATTTTCTCTGCTGCTGTGTGTGGGCACAATGAGCAGGCAGAGAGGCGAGCCCATAGACCTGAGGAGAGGGTAACCCTGGCCTAGCCCGGGGGTCCTGACCTAGCCTGGGGGTCCTGGCCCAGTCCTCACATCCCTACTCCCCCTAGGGCTGCCGGAGTGTGGAGGAGTTCCAGTGCCTGAATAGGATTGAAGAAGGCACGTACGGGGTGGTCTACAGAGCAAAGGACAAAAAAACGGGTGGGTAGAGTCTGTGGTGGTCCCACAAAGGGGAAGGTCAGGGCCCAGGGCCCAGAGAGCCTGGCTGTCCTCTGGCTGAGAGGCCAGGTGGGTGGGCGGTGTGCTGTGGAGTGGGGCATGCCCTCCACGCTGTGGGAGAGCCAGTCTGAAATGTTCTGGTCTAGCCCAGCCTATTCTGGTACAGGCCACACGCATCTGCTGGCTCTCAGAAGAGGGCATGTAGAGACAGGCAGAGGCACCGGGAAGTGGGGGTCGCCTGTGTGAGAACATAGGAGCGGAGGGGCTGCTGGTTAGGTGGCCCTGATTGCTGTGAACTAGAGATGTTCCCTCTGTGACATGGCATCCCCACATGTCCCTGTGCACCCTATCCTGTGTCAGTCTCAGTGACTTGGCCACTAGAGCGATGTCTACATGGAGTCGCTCCTGATGCAGCTTTCCCGACACTTGCAGCTGTTTTTTCCGGAAAGCCAGGGTGAGTGGTGCCTTTGGTGTATTGAGACACTGAGGTTCGTCAGCCTCCTCAGGGTGAACGAAAAGCCCTCCTCAGTCGTTTGGGGAAAAGCTGCAGCGAAGTGTGCCTCGTGTTTCTTTTTGCGTGGGCTTTTCTTCTCGGTGCTGATGCTGATTTTGAGCTCCCAGTTAAAGATGCTTTCTCACTGCGAAGTAACAAACACTTCATAGGCAAAAGATAAAAAGTCCTCATTAAATGTATTGATATTCTTAATGTGATCTTGCAAGAGCATTTTCTCAGCTCCTGTTTTTAAACTCTTTTCATTACAGATGAAATTGTGGCTCTGAAACGGCTGAAAATGGAAAAGGAAAAGGAGGGATTTCCCATCACGTCACTAAGAGAAATCAACACCATTCTCAAGGCCCAGCACCCCAACATAGTCACTGTCAGAGTAAGGCTCCGCCCACTCCCCATCCCCACCCACCCCGCTCAGACCTGACACCCCACATCACCATGAATGGGTGGCCCGTGTCTCCCAGAGTCCTGGGGCGCATGGCCCAAGTGCTTCTTTAGATACCATACACCATTGTCATCATGGTAATAGCGGGGTCCTCACTGTCCTGTAGTGTGTGCACCCAGATGTCATTTCTTCGGGGCAAGGGCCGCACACATCCTTACCCACACCCCCGACATTTTCTAGGAGATTGTCGTTGGAAGCAACATGGACAAGATCTACATCGTGATGAACTACGTAGAGCACGATCTCAAGAGCCTGATGGAGACCATGAAGCAGCCCTTCCTGCCAGGTGCCGCTGAGGCCCCGTGGGGGCCCTGCTGGGAACTGGCTGGTGCAGCCACAGCGGTGGGAGGGGGGCCTGCTGTGATGCAGACGCAAGTCGTTTTGTTGGGAGGGTAACACACCTTAGCTAACCCTTCAGGTGTTAGTGCAGTTTCTAATCTGGGTGTCGACAGCAGGGGCGGGGGTGCCCCTGGGTCTCCGAGTAGAACTCTGACCCCAGGGAGAGGCCTAGCCTGCCAGGCACCTGAAGCGTTGAGCCCTCACGCTCTGGGCACATGTCCCAGGAACCAGTCCCATAGTGCATCTCTCTTCATGGGGGAGGGGAGGTGGGAGGTGTGTGACCTGCCTGTTCCCCTAGGGGAGGTGAAGACCCTAATGATCCAGCTGCTTCGAGGTGTGAGGCACTTGCATGACAACTGGATCCTGCACCGTGACCTCAAGACGTCCAATCTGCTGCTGAGCCATGCTGGCGTCCTCAAGGTGGACCTGCCCCCCGCCCCGTCCACTGCCGCCACCCCTGCCACCTCCACCTCCATACCTGTACCATGCTCCGCCCCCCACCACTATTGCTCCCATCCCCCACCTCCACCCCCCCTGCTTTTACCCTTTCTCCCCACCCCCCGCCATGGTGCCACAGGGTCCTGCCACAGCTCATCCCTCTGCCTTTCCAGGTGGGTGATTTTGGGCTGGCACGTGAGTATGGGTCCCCACTAAAGGCCTACACCCCAGTTGTGGTGACCCTTTGGTACCGTGCCCCAGAGCTACTGCTTGGCGCCAAGGTGAGTGTGCACAGGTGCCTGGGGGGGTTGCAGCCCGCAGGGCTCCATGGTGGCCTCACCCTGAGACCAGAGAGCTGTCTGACGCAGCTGAGCTGAGTGCCTTGGCCTTGCAGGAGTACTCCACAGCCATTGACATGTGGTCTGTGGGCTGCATCTTCGGGGAGCTGCTGACTCAGAAACCCCTGTTCCCTGGGAAGTCAGACATCGACCAGATCAACAAAGTGTTTAAGGTAGGGGGCTGTGTGCTGGGCCTGGGTGGGTGTGGTGGTCACTCTGTGGCTTCTCAGTGGGCTGGTCTCTGACGATGAGACTTGGAGTCAGCTGCCAGGTGGTGGACCCTTCCCTGCAGTGGAGCCAGCCTGTTCTGAGGCATCCCCACCTTCCTAGGACCTGGGGACCCCCAGCGAGAAAATCTGGCCTGGCTACAGCGACCTTCCCGCGGTCAAGAAGATGACATTCACTGAGTACCCATACAACAACCTCCGCAAGCGCTTTGGGGCGCTGCTCTCAGACCAGGGCTTCGACCTCATGAACAAGTAAGTGCCGCCACCAGAGGGGCCGGCTGCCTCATCGTTGCAGCTGTGGAGCCTGGCGCTGGCCCCAGCCTGCCTGCCACGTGTGCCCTTCTAGAACCACCCCCCGCCCCAGCACACCCTGCTCTTGGTAGCCTGGTCCCAGAGACCCTGGGGACTTTTCCACCACTCCACATGCTGGGACCCAGGTGCCCTGCTCTCCCCAGGTTTCTGACCTACTTCCCTGGGCGGAGGATCAGTGCTGAAGATGGCCTCAAGCATGAGTATTTCCGTGAGACCCCGCTCCCCATTGACCCCTCCATGTTCCCCACGTGGCCCGCCAAGAGTGAGCAGCAGCGTGTGAAGCGTGGCACCAGCCCACGGCCACCTGAGGGGGGCCTGGGCTACAGCCAGCTGGTAAGGAGCCACGGGGAGGGGGAGTCTTCACAGGCGGGGCTGACGGGCCAGAGGCTCCTCAAAGGTAGAGGGCTGTTGGAGGGAGAGGGTCCTCACAGGGAGGGTGACAAGGAAGAAAGGAGGGTCCTCACAGGTGGAGCTGCTGAGTGGGGAGAGAGGGATGGCATGGGAAGGACTGATGAGGAAGAGGGAGAGTATCCTCATAGGGAGGGGACGGGGTGGGGGTTCTCATGGGTGGGGCCAGCTGAGGGGCAGGTCCTCAGGGTACACTGACACTGACTCGCCCCCCAGGGTGATGACGACCTCAAGGAGACCGGCTTCCACCTGACCACCACAAACCAGGGGGCCTCAGCTGCTGGCCCCGGCTTTAGCCTCAAGTTCTGACCCCAGAGCAAGTCGTAGCACACGCCCAGAGGGCGGGGCCTGGCCGGGTTGCGTAGAGGCACAAGGCTCCCCTTCGTGAGAGGAGTGGCTACTGCGGTGTCTTTGTCCAGATTGCATCCCTGAATCTAAGCTGCAGGGGGACCTCTGGGCCGAGAATCCTGGACTCAGAGCTCCTTATCATGTTCTTCATTTTCCACGTTTTTATTTTGGCTTGTAAATTTATAGAATTAAATCATATTTTCCTTGTTGTAGAGGGAGAGGCTGTATTTCTTCAGGTGGATCAGGCTTGCCCTGGGGGTGCCCCGTGCGGAGAGGCTGGGCTTCAAGGGGCCAGTGTGTACAGCAAATCCCCTCACACACACGCACTCACATACACACAGCCAAGCTGAGCCCAGGCTGCCAGCCAGTCAGACAATGGTAGTAATTTGGAGCCAGTACTGTGGGAGGGTTTTTTTTGTGTTCTCATCTTGCAGGATTTATGTCCTGGGCCTGCAGACCTTCTCTTCGACATGGGTGCAAGTGCTTTCCTGCTTCTTCCTGAGGTCGCCCAACTCAGTGACCTAGGTAGATGGGCTGGTTTCCCCCCAGCATTGTTCACACGGCTGTGAGCCCCTGCCCAGGTCCCACAGGCCATTGTGTTTGCTATCCTCACACAGGGGTTTTTATACAATAGGTTGTTAGTTTTTAAATGTAGTAAACTATTCTTGAACTCTGGGGTGTCCTCCTTCTGGCCCAAAGCTGAGTCTGGTGGGCACAGTTCCCTGGCTTGGGGACAGGTAAAGGCACAGGGCCGTTCACAGTGGTGGGCCCTCGGCTGTCTGACCTCATTTCCAGTGCTACCTCCCCTGACTGACTCAGGGCAGCACCAGGCCCAGGCAGGGGAAAAGGCCCAGAAGCCAGGTTGTCAGGAGTTTGGTACAAGAGCTAGAACCCAACTGGGTGAGACACTGTGGAAGATGTGGGTCAGGGCCCTAGGGGCGAGGGCAACAAGGCAGCCTTTGGCTCTTCCCTGGCCTGCAGCACCTGGTCTGGCTGGATAGGGCACCAGCTTTTGGCAGCAGAAGGGGCTGGGTCCTTCTGCCTCTGCCCAAGCTAGTTGGCATCCAGCCAGGGAAACTGCTCCTCAGTCCCAAGTCCCCGTACTCCTGTTCACACTCCTACCCCCTATCAGGAAAGGCTTTGGAGGCCCAGCTGCTCTACCCCTCCTGCCCTTGTAGGCCCAGCACAGCACCTCCTGCAGGAAGTCGGCCTTGCCTCATCTACCTCCGAGCAGAACCCTGACAATCAAGGGCTCCGCCCCTGCCCTGCCTGTACCCCTAGTAATGCCCCCAGCTCTTGGGCCCTACCCCACTGTGTAATGAGGAGTCCAACTGGGAAAGCCCTTCTTACCCTAGTCCTTTCTCAGCTTTCGAAGGCCACACCCTGACCCCAAGCAGCTGTGAGGGGAAGGGGGGCTGTCCTGGCCTCTAGGCTTCCCACTAGGACTGCAGCCTAGGCCCGAAGCGCCTTTCCTCCAAGAACAGGCAGAAACAAACCAGTAGAGAAAGCGCTTTATCAGTCTCCCTTTCTTCAAGACGCCGGCTGCAGGAGGCGCACTAGCTCCTCACGCGGATGCGCCACGAGTAGGTGGTGAGCACACGCTGACGCCGACGCACCTCACACGTGTAGGTGCCTTCGTTGATGGCGTTGGCGATGATGCTCAAGTGTGCCTCGCCCAGCGCCAGATAGCCAGGATAGGAGAACTCCAGGGGCTCCTGGTCCTTGTACCAGCTGCGGGGGGTGGGGGGCAGGTGGCTAGTCTGTCCACCCGCCACTCCGACCCCCAGGGCTGCCCCCCCACCCAGCACTCACTACACTTTGCCCTTCTTGTGCAGGATCTTCTGGCCACAGCGGAAGGTCACGTTTCTGCCTTCAGGCACCAGCCTGGTCTTGGTCCTGGGTGGCGGTGGGGTGGCAGCCACCGTAGGGAAGGGGAACTCTGCTCGAGGGGAAGGGCGAGTGCCACATCAGTGCCCCCACCTACCCCCAGAGAGCACAGAAAGAAACCCAAGCAGGTCCACCCAGCCCTCCGCCCTGACATCACCGTAGCAAAAGTCGCAGCTGCTGGGACAGAGTCGCTTCATGAGCCTCCGTCGGGCATCGCAGAAGCCCTTTCGCGCCCAGGACGCGCACACGAAGAGCCGGTCCAGGCAGCCTGCGGAGGGCGGCCCTGGCTCAGGGCCCGTCCCCACCCCCACCTGGGCCTGCCCCCGACCCCCGCCTCCCACGCCCACCTGCGCCTTCTGCCCCCAATCCCTACCCCCGCTGGCACGCCCCCCCGTCCCGCCCACAGGCACCTCCCTCCCCCCCTCACCATAGAGCCGGTGTAGCCCCCACATCTCGTCCTGCGACAGCGCCTTCCAGCCACGGAGCGTGGCGTTCAGGTGCATGAGGGCCCGGACGTGCTGCGAGTGCATCAGGCCCAGCGCGTGACCTATCTCGTGGGCTGCCACGTGCACCAGGTCCGTGAGCCACACGCCTGCAGGCCCAGGGGTCAGCGCTGCGAAGACCCCGGCCCGGCGCCTCCACCCTGCTGGCTGTGCCGCGTGGAGCAGCCGCGGCCTCAAAAGATAACAGCGTCCCGGGACAGGCGGTGACTCCGGCCCCAGGAATGCAACTCAGCGCCCTCAGCGGCCGCGGGTTGTGGGGGAGGTTCGGGGAGCTGGAACCTCAGGCCTGTGACCCTACCCCCCGCGGCCTCCCCGCCCAGCCAGTTTGACCCCAAATCGCCGCCACCCCAGCGTCCCTCCAGCTGCAGCCCCGCGGTGGCGCCCGGTGCCAGGGAGGGGTGGCGTCAGGGAGGGGCGACCTGAGGGGGCAGCGCGCATCACCTTTCTTCCAGCTGTACCGAGTGGGGCCCAGCACCCAGTACTCGCTGTCGTCGAAGTGGATGCCACCGTGTGGGGGGAAGAAGGCGTGGGCCAGCTCGCCCGTGGGGCCATCGAAGCAGTGGTGCAGGGCTGACGTCAGGCAGTCCGTATGGTTGACTGGGTAGAAGCCTGGGGGGAGCACGGGGCTGAGCGGGCCGCGGGAGGGGCCGGGACGGGGCAGGGCAGGCGCCCACCTATGCGGAAGTCGCTGGGCAGCTCGGGGGCCACTTCGCGGAAGCTGAAAGGGGACACGTCGCTCCACATGCGGAAGGCGGCAGCCAGGCCCCGACGGGTTTCACTGGGACTCAGCAGGTTCCGCGGGAAGGAGAGGATCCTGGGGGTTCAAGGTTCGGGTGGTGGGAAGGAGAGGATCCTGGGGGGTTAGGGTCAGGGGCGGTGGGAAG